AACCGTGAGATTGTTGCAGGGTCGCTTTGATATTCTTTCTTTGTCTGGAGCATTTACGCCGAATGAGAATGGTGGAGCAAAAGGTTGCTCTGGTGGGATGAGTGTTTCTTTGGCCGGCCCTGATGGACGTGTTTTGGGTGGAGGACTTGCCGGTATGCTTGTAGCTGCTGGTCCTGTTCAGGTTAGACATTTTACATTTTTATCGATAAAATTGAATCTAGGGCCTRTTTCATGACATAAATTGGGTAAGCGYTAACTGAAAATGGTCGTTCACCAAGTATTTTGTTTTAAATGCTTAGCGTATCCAGGAATTTTGGTAATGGGGATGGGTAAAAGTAGATATATAGAGGGGATTTCAAATACAAACATGTAAATATTATATCTGCAAGGACTCTAATGATCAGAAAGGTAAAAGAAATAATGGATTGGCAATGATTGAGAAAATATCTCATGCTATGATGATTTGTAACTTATGCATTCATGGTTGTATGTTACCATCTAAGCTTGTATTTCTAATTCTTAGGTGATACTTGGAAGCTTTCTTCCCAGCCACCAACAGGAGCACCAGAAACCAAGCAAGAAATCAAGATTGGAACCTGTACAAGCTATCTTGCCGCCGCCTATCGCCACCACTTCTGTGTTCAAACAAGCAACCGAGAGAAGGTATGGTGATGAACCGAATATAAGCTTTACCCTTCCAAACCCGACACATATAGCACGGAGTTTAGACCCTGAAAACAACGGATCTTTGCGTGCATCTGAACCTAAGGTGCTCAACGCGTCACAGTTCGAGGTTTCTTGCTGATCAAATCAGTGGTGTATTAGCTGACTTAGGAAATCATTAGACTTATTTATTGTTGTTAGAAGACATCAAATCTTTTTGGTGCGGTTTTAAATCTTAACCTTAGGTGTTGAAGAGTTGGCATAAATTTAATGGAAAATGGATGTTAATTTGAGGATTTCATTCTTCTTTAAATGGTTTGTATGCTATGAATCCATTTTCTTGAAATTTTATACCATGTCACGCCAAACGTGGGTCGGTGGGTTTTTGTTCAGTCACATGTTGGGGTAATTAGTTTTGTTCTGTCTCATATATCAAACGCATCCTTAAAACCATTATAGTGGTTTCGGCCAGAGTTTTGTTTCTTCACACCTTTCCTTCCTCCAAACTTGTATTTCGAATCCTTAAAACTCATTGCTTGCTCCGTATTACCTTCTCTTCTTGTTTTTTAGCTTGGGCTTCTTGTTCTCTCTTGCCTTTCTTCTCTAAAATCTCTCTCTTTTCTACCAGAAAGCAAGTCATTGACATCTATCTATTGATCTTGATTGATATCGATCGAAAATTGATGAATCCATTCTACATCTTTAGGAAAACTGATATTGCCAAGTTTATCAAGCATGACGTCCTTGGATTTTAAACTGTCATACAAATTTTTTCATCGAGGGTCTGTAATTAGAACCATAACTCTTATTTATTCAAATTGTATTAATATATAAAGACCAAGTGTAACCTATATCATCGTTAAATCTTATCTTATAAAACCAGTGGAACTTCAAAATTGTTAAAATTCATGGCTCCCGCCGCATTGCGCGGGTACACAACTAGTATATATATATAGAGAGAGAGGGGATGGGTCCCACCATTACGCACCCCATCGTTTGGTGCGTAAGTGCCCCACAGGTTTTTTTTATTTTTTGTTTTTATAAATTTATTTTTAATTTTTTTTAAAAATATTTATTTTCTTAATTTTTTTAAGAATTTATTTCTTATTAATTTTTTTTTCAACTTTACTTTTTTTTAAATATCCGATATTTTTTTTTTGTAAAATTTAATTTTTATGTTAATATTTTAATTTTTTTAGAAATTTATTTATTTTTTAACAAAATTAGAAAATTTTATTTTAGGGCTTGCGACGAGATATCAACACCAATAGCCAAGAATTGTCTCGTGTTATCGGTGTCAAATAACTCGACAACCGAACCAGATGATAGAGATTTATATGTTAACTTAAAATGATTTTCAAAATCATGCAAATTTAATTTTCTAGCTAAATAATTGACCAAAACTAGTAATGTTAAGTGTATCGGCAACAATACAACAACTTTTTGCGTTTCTAGAACATAATCTACCACATTGTTGACTAACTACCACAAACCTCCACCAAAAACACGTACTCTAACTTTCTCAATTATAGATATTGATCCTTGAAAGTTTACAGAAGATAATTTTTTTTTCAATATCGGAGATATATATAGTATTTTTTTTGAAATGTTGGTGTTATGTTGGTAGTATAAAATTTGAAATGTTTATACAGTGGGGTTGAGGAGGAAAAAATAATTTGAACAGTGTTTTGTATTGGAAAGAGGAAAGTAAATAGTATTGTATTGGGAATGAGAAAAATGAAAAGTATTGTATTAGGAGTAAGGAGAATGAATAGTGTTGTATTGGGAAGGAGGAAAGTATAAAATTTTCTTATAAAAATTATTTTATTTCTAAAAAAATTAAATATCTAAAATTAAATTAAATTCATTTTTATAAATTTAATTTCTTATTTAAAAAAACCGAATAATTAAAATTTTAAG